GGCCGTGCGTGGCGTGGCGCAGCGTGGCGCAGCGTAGCGTGCGGGCGTGGCGTCTCGTAGCGTGCAGTGGCGGGGCGGAGGCGGGCGGGACAGCGCGCTCGTGTTGTTGCTGTTACTGTACTACTACCTGTATGCGCGGGTAGAGGTAGGTGAGTGAATGTGTGTGTGTGTGTGTGTGTGTGTGTGTGTGTCACACAAGCAAGCATGATTCCACTAATTGATCATACACTAAAGTGGCGGTATACATCCCTTTGGAAAAAGGGAAATGTAAAATCGTACGTTTTTTTAAAAGTTACAAACAGGTGCTAATTTTTAATTGATACATCGTTGTACCATGCACTTAGCAAACGCTTTGTAATTATCCAAGCGTTTAGGGCCTTATTAGTAGAATTTTCTTCGTGAGTGCGGACCTGATAAATGCTTTGCAGTCTGCAACGTAAATGGAAAAGTAGATGTCTATAGTAAAGTACGTCGAAGCTATGGAGGTGTTTAAAATCTAAGACTTATAACGTTTTATTTAAGTTTACAGGCTGCGTGCGTATGCCACTCACTCTCGTCACAACGACCCTCTACTACCCTCGTACTCGTCTAGTTCATCACTTTTCGTTGATCGTGCAGACGCTGCGTGACGTTGCCGCCGCGCTGCATGTCGTGTTTCGGGGTGCGGCAGGTCAGGGATATACCCCCCGCCCCCCATCCCCCACCGGCATGCCGTGCACGAACCAATCAGAGCATTCTCTCCGTTCCGTTCGAACCTTGGCGCCACACGCATATGCGGCTCAACAAGTCTCGTTCCGATAACGCACCCGATACCATGTTCACATTGAATTTTTCAAACCAAACCGCTACGTCGTGGCGTGGACCGGGTAATTTCCACGAGTAACTATCATTTCAACGTCATTTCGGAACGTCAGGGTTCACGACGTTGAAGGACGACTGAACTCGCAAGTGCAAGTACCACGGCCATCGATCACTCTCACTCCATGTTTCTCTCCCGTTTACACATTCGCTGAAGCCTGTTTCCCTTTCTTTGAAATAACGCCATGGAAGCAGAGAAGTTCTCGTTCGGCCACATGTACAGTACTACAGAGAGACCGAGAGAGGAAGAGAGGGGGAGAGAGAGGGAGAGAAAGGCCGGGGGATTTGGAAAGGGGGGTGGGGGGAGCCGGAGAGACAGAGGGAGGGAGGCAAGCATCATTCATTAATCAACAACCAATCGATCGAGGGTATAAATAAATCGCCACAAGATCTGTCTCCCTCCCTGCGCGCAGCCCTTGAGTCGGCATGAACACGCACGCGTCTGTCACGTGTCCCCCGCGGATGCATTTCGGGTCACGTTACCTGTATAGTGTAAAATTTTAGGCATCACACTTCTAATAGTTGAATCTCACCGAAAATGTCACGGTAAGCTACGGTGAAGTGCATCACCGTAACTTACAGTTGAATTCTCCATAACTTCACTGAGAAAAATATTTCTTTCCGTGGACTAAACCGTTTGTCTAATGCTCCCTACTTGAGTCGCAGCTCAAAATGAGATAGTGCCAGAACTTGAGGTTTAGTGCTCTGCTCTAAAATTTCTTTGCCTGGGATGCTACATTATTTAGTTGTCAGCGTTAGCGTTAGACGTATACAGTGCAACGAAAAGGCTTCGATCTGAACACTGAACGTTTAGTGCTCAGACATTTTTTTTCCCTCAGTGTTACGATGAAAATTCATCGTAAGTTACAGTGCTAATGGACACCCTTTAGCTAACAGTAAAATACGCCGTAATCATGCAATGGTACACAGTTAGGCGAAACTTGGCTCATGTAAAATAAAATTAAAAAGATATGAGGCACTCACCTGATGGAAACCGAGGTAACTTTCAATGCTGTGAGTGGCGAAGAAGACCTCCCCCTCGCACGTTAGTATGAGGAGGAAACCGTTTAACGCCTGCAACAAAACGACACGCCTGTATTAGCATCACTTTAATTCACAATGCATGGAAATATTTTTGTTTTTAAAGGAAGCGAAAACTGCTATAAACATCAGAAGAAAATACACCGGTGGCAAGATAACTAAACATGTTATTCCTTTGCGATAATAAAGTGATAGTCCTGTAAACAATAGCCGATACATTAACGAAAGTGTTGTGATCAGCAGCATCGGCTGCGGCCTGCACAATACTACGCGGGGCGCGGGAAGCATATCCAGCGAAGTCTGTCGATAGGCATCGTCGATTCGTCAAAGCCGCAAAAGTAGGACGTCGGGCGGCTCCTCTAAGTTAGTCACACTCCAGTTTGTTTGTTGTGACAATACCTGCTACTGTTGCTTTTTATGACCGTGAACTAGTTTATCTCTATCGGCATTGTATTGGCATGTAATTCCTGGCCGAATCCAAATCAGTTCCCCCGAAAGTTTTAATAATAATAATAA